TTAATATTTATTATTTTTATTTTATGTGTATGAGTATATTGCCTGCATGTGAGTGTGAGTGAGTGCACCCATGTCGTGCAATACCTCAGAGGTCAGAAGAGGGCTTCGGATTCCCTTGGAACTGGAGTTAAGGACGGTTTGTAGCCACCATGTGGGTGCTGGGAATTGAACCCGGGTCCTCTGCAAGTGCAGTCAGTGCTCTTAACCACTGGGCCATCCCTCCAGCCCTATGAAATATTATTTTTATGTTTATGAAAGTTTTGCCTACATCTATGTAAGTGCTTGTATGTCCTGCAGTGCCTGCAGAGGCCAAAAGAGGGTGTTGGATCTCCTGGAACTGGAATTACAGATGATTGATAACCACCATATGGGTGCTAGGAATTGAACCCAGGTCCTCTAGAAGAATAGCAAGTGTTCTTAACTACAGAGCCATCTCCAGCCCATCATTACATTTTTTCAAAAGATGCATTTTTACTTTTAATTATGTGTATGTGTGTGTCTATGTGTGGTTATGCATACAGAAGTTCAGGAGTCCTTGGAAGCCAGAGGCATTGGATCCCTCAGCTGGAGTTATAGTTGGCTGAAAACTGCCCAACCTGGTTGCTGGGGATTAAATTCAGGTCCTCTGGAAGAGCTGTACATGCTCATATCCTCTGAGCCATTTCTCCAGCCCATCACTGCACCTTTATGAAGGTCCTTTGCTAGCCTTGCAGCATGAGCTTAATAATGAGACAAGACATAAAGATCCATTATTTCATATACATGTAACACCTGCCAGTGCTAAAGAACACTGAGCAATGTGGATTCCCCCGCTCTCTGTGAAGGGGCTGGAGGGAAGACCTGGAAAAGAACCCTTTCCTCCAGCCCCTTCACAGGGAGCAAAGGAACCTCTTGAGAGAACTGGCAGGTACTGAATAAAATGGTTGTCTTGGTTATAGACTCCCTTTTGTCAGGACCTTTCACTGGTTCTCTTTAGTTGAAGTTCGAACTATTGTTTGAGATGTACTGCTTTCATCTGACCTTGAAAAGGTTAGAGAGCTGAGCTGTCCTGTTTGAGGTAGTACTTTGCATTCTAGATCCCACGTGTAGATGGCGAGTATGACCTGAAAGTGCCCCGAGACATGGCTTACATCTTCAGTGGTGCCTATGTGCCTCTGAGCTGCCGAATTATTGAGCAGGTAGGAAAGAGTCACTCTTGCTCCAATTCCTAGTTTCCTGTTTCTGCTTTCTCTTGGCCCTGATCCATCCCTCCTTTCACTTCCCCGGTAACTAGTAAGAAACTTGATTCTGGCTTCTGTCCCATTCCTTTCGTAAGCCTTATACCTTTAGTAGACTTGAAACCAGTGCTTACCCCTTCCCAGGTGCTGGAGCGGCGAAGCTGGCAGGGCCTTGATGAAGTGGTACGGCTGCTAAACTGCAGTGAGTTTGCATTCACAGGTATGTGGCATTGCCAGAGGGGCAGGGTGTGGACAAGAGGTAGGCTAGATACATCACCCAGGACTTATCAGTGAAGACCAGCATCTGCTCTGATCCTCATAGATATGGCCAAGGAAGATAAAGCTTCCAGCGAGTCCTTGCGACTCATCTTGGTGGTGTTCTTGGGGGGCTGCACATTCTCAGAGATATCAGCCCTGCGGTTCCTTGGCAGAGAAAAAGGTAAGAGAACAGAAAGGTGGGAACAGGCCTGAATGAGTTCCAGGGGACAGCATGCCTTGGACAGGAAGGCTTTCCTCCTCGCTGTGACACCACTTGCTGTGGGCTGCTAAAGCAGGAAGTAAGGAGCCCATTCTCACTAGGCTTGGCACATTGTAGTGCCCAAGTGACTGGTACTGATGTTTTTTTGTTCTATTTTTCTTCCCATTTGGGGTGGGGGTGGACAGGGTCTATCAATGTTGCTCAGACTAGCCTGGGATTTGCTATGCACCCCAGGTTGGCCTCAAATTTGTGGCAATCTTCCTGTCTCAGCTTCCCAGTTCTGGGGTGATAGCTGCAACCATACTACTGTTACTGATGTTTCTGTGCCTGTAAACTGGAATTCTGATTCTGGGGCACTGTGCAACTAAAGGGATTTGATCTGGTGTCTCTTGGGGGTCTGCTTTCAATCACTTCTGCTGCTTGTCTTCACTCTCAGGGTACAGATTCATTTTTCTGACAACAGCCATCACAAACAGTGCTCGCCTTATGGAGGCCATGAGTGAAGTAAAAGCCTGAAGTTTTCCTGGCTAGTGTTGAAGTCTTTCCTGGACATGGACCCCACTGGGATGATAGTGTTTGACATCCACCTGCTAGAAAACTGGCCCCCAGCTCAGAGCTGCAGACCTTGGAACTAATTTGGAGCTTTAGAGAACAAGTCTGAGGAGAATTTATGTCCTGTCCCTGGGACATTCCTGTTTTTGTTTATGGAGTATAGCCCATACTGCTAAGATATGAGGGGGGAGAGGTACCCCTTGTTAAATCCTGTTCAAATACCATTGTAAATAAAGCCCCTGCTTTCAAATGTAACACCCTTGTAGTCCTGGACAAACCCTCCCTTCTTTACACAGTGGGGCCATCTTGGGGACTTCATATGCTTCATGGTCTGGTCTCTGATAGATAGCTCTGGACCTACTCCAGTTCTTCCTTGTAAAAGTCACTAGCCTGCTAGGCAGGGTGGTGCATGCCTTTAATCCCAGCACTCGGGAGGCAGATGGCAGGTGGATCTCTGAGTTCAAGGCCAGCCTGGTCTGCACAGTGAGTGCCAGACCAGCTGGGTAGGGCTACAAGGGAGACCCTGTCTCAAAAAAGACAAAAAAAAAAAAAAAAAAAAGTCACTAGCCTGCTCTGTACCAGAGTTTTCTCATCTGTAAAAGGAGTAGGATGGACTCAAGGGTCAACAAACACCTTTCCATTTCTAAAATTCTGTTATTCATTACACTTTTTTAAAAATTTACAGCCAGGTGTGGTGGCGCACGCCTTTAATCCCAGCACTTGGGAGGCAAAGGCAGGCAGATTTTTGTGAGTTCGAGGCCAGCCTGGTCTACATAGTTCCAGGTCAGCTGGGGCTACAAGGAGACCCTGTCTCCTATTTTATGTGTATGAGTATATTGCCTGCATGTGTGTAAGTGCACCTGTGTCGTGCAGTGCCCGCAGAGGTCAGAAGAGGGTGTCAGATCCCCTGGAACTGGAGATAATGATTTTAGCTGCCATGTGGGTGCTGGGAATCAAACCCAGGTCCTTTGCAACAGCAGCCAGTGCTCTTAACAGAGATGTCTCCAGCCCTTCATTATATTTATCAAAAAACAGATTTGTTATTGCTTTAACTTAAAGGATACTCACAGGCTCACTGTGTACTCTGGGTAGCCTAGACCTCACTATGTAGGTCAGGCTGGCCTTGAACTTACAGTGACCATCCTGCCTCTGCCTTTCAAGTGCTCAGATTGCAGGTTTGTACCACTACACCCAATCAATGAAATATTTTTATTTTTGTTCTCTAAAAGAAAAATGTCAGGGCTGGAGAGATGGCTCAGCAGTTAAGAACACTAGCTGTTCTTGCAGAAGACCCAGGTTCAAATCCCAGCACCTATATGGCAGCTAACAACTGTCTGTAACTCTAGTTCCAGGGGATCTGACAGCCTCTTCTGTCCTCTGGATCTGACATCCTTTTCTGTCCTCCAAGGGCATTGCACGACATGGGTGCACTTACCTACATGTAGGCAATACACACATACACATAGAATAAAATAAAATATTTTTTTAAAAAAAGAAAAGTTATTCTAATGCCAGGCTTGATTGCTTCCATTTATAATCCCAGCACTTGAGAAGCTGAGACGGGAGGATTTCCCAGAAGTTCAAGGCTAGATTGGGCTATATAGTAAGTTTCAGGCCAGCCTGGGCTACAGAGTGAAACCTGTTTCAAAAAAAGAAAGGAAAGAAAAAAAAAAAAACATGGCTCTAGAGGTGAACCAAAGCAACCTTTGGTTTTGTTTTTGGCACTGTAGCCCTGGCTGGCCTGGAATTCAATATGTAGACCAGGCTAGCCTTGAACTCAGAGATCCACCCATCTCTGCCTTCTGAGTGCTGGCACTAAAGGTATGCGCCATCACACCTGGTACAACCTTTACTTTTAAAGAAAAGAAATAATGTACCAAAGACATGGTGCACTGGGTAAAGATGCTTGCTGCCAAGCTGGACAACCTGAATACAATTCCCTTGACCCACACAGTAGAAGGAAAGAACCAACTCACACAAGTTATCCTCTTGACTCTGTTGCATAACATACACCCAAACAGATATATGCACACATTTACATATGCACATTCACAAATGTAATTGTAAAATAAAAAATTTATATTAAAAAAATGAAATTTCACAAATGATACAGTGGTCAGTATGTGAAAAAAATGAACACAATATGTGAAAAAAATGAACAATTTCAGTTATACTCAAGTGTGAATCAAACAAGGTAATGCCTTTTTAGTGGTGGTGGGGTTTTTTTGTTGTTGTTGTTATTTTTGTGTTGCTTGCCAATGAGCTGAGCAAAGTGATTTAAAAGTACAGGAATATTCACCACTTCTGTGAGTAACAAAATGGGTACTCCAGGTAAGCCTTGCTGGGGAGGGCAAATTAATAAAAATAACCTCTTTAGAAGGGGATGGTTGTGGTCACCCACGCCTTTAATCCTAGCACTTGGGAGACAGGCAGGTGGATCCCTGTGAGTTTGAGGCCAGCCTGGTCTACCTAGTAAGTTCCAGGACAGCTGGAGCTACAGGGAGACTGTCTCAAAAAAGACAAAAAAAAAAAAAAAAGTTTGGTAATTATGCTTCTACACAATCACAAGAAAACAAAGTAGCAAAGAAGGACATAAAGATTATCATCTCAGTATCATTTTACAGATTCCAAGAGTCAGTAAGGTTTGAGTTTTAAAGTTTTCTCATCGTTTATATAAATGTAATTTGTTAGAAAACCACACCTAGGCTATTTTCATTTGTTCACAACTTAAATTGGGCAAGTCATTGAAAAACTATTTTTTTTTTGGACTAAGTTTCACTATCTAGCTCAGGTCGGTCTCGAGTTTGCCATCCTCCTGCCTCAGCCTCTGGACTGTTGGAAAAGCCACTCTGAGTTTTCTCTTCAGTATGATGGTGACCTAAGAGGTTTTTTTTAAATAAATAAATGAGTGAATTTATCTACAAAGGTAGGCCCCAGAGGTTGGTTTGCTCCTTCCCTTCGTCTTTCTAGTACTGCTTTCCTATGTTCCGGGAGGATTCCCACCAAAAATTTGTCAGGTTGGGTTGCTGGTGGAGCCAGAGAAACGACATGCTAAGCTTTCCGGTTGAGACAGGAAAATAGCCAGTTGCTGAGCGAATCCCGCCTTCTCTGCTGCTTCCCAGTTACCTCTGGGATGTAGCGCACTTTTCGAATCCAAATAGAGCCGTCGGGTGGGGCTCAGATGACGTTTTTGGATTGAAGCCTAGCCCTTCGGCCCCGGAGCTTTGGAAACCAGAGGCACTTCGGCTGGGGTGAGCGCACGCGCAGACCTGAGGTCTGTGGGCCGCCGCGCCCGCACTTCCCACGCCCAGCTCTTGCTTTCTCCTGGCCACTGCTCTAGGGCGCCACAGACAGCGGCTGGGGGCGGGATTAAGGCGGGGCTCCGTTAAGAGAGGCTAGACGCGGGACCAATTGACTGGCGGCCCCACCTTCGGCTCAGTTTGAACTCCGCGCGACTTAACGGCTCGCGAAGCGGAGACCCGAGCGAGGGCCTGGGCGTCTGCGGGTAATTGTCCACGGTCCCGCGTGAGGGACCACGCTTGGAGCGTCCATCATGAGGAGAAGGTGCGCATCGGCGGGGTTGCGGGGGCGAGCGACGCCTGTTGAGGGTGCGGGGCTGGGCGAAGTTCCAGAGCCCCGTAGGCCAGGGGCTCGGGTGTCAGGTCCGCTCGGGGCCAGCGAGGCGGGGGTCGTCGGGACTACGGGCTCCTGAGGGCGTCAGGGCCTGAGGCGACGAGCGGGGCTGTTTGCCCCGACGGGGCGGAAACAAGGCCTGACCCGGCTTCCCCTCAGGGCGCGGAGCCCGCGGGCGGACGAGCACAGGTGCCAGGGACTCGGCGCTGCGGGCGAGACTAGCGGGCTCGAGCAGCCTCGGCGCCGGCGCCGCAGAGCCCGGCTCCCCGCCACCCGGCAGCATCTCAAGTACAGCTGCTGACACCTGAGGCTCCCGGCCAAGTGTTGAGTCTGTCTTGGTGGGGTCTTCAAATTTCCTTTTTTCCTCTTTAAGACAGAGCCCCGCCGTGTAGCCCTGGCCTGGAACTCGCTGTGTAGACCGGGCTGGCCTTTGAACTCACAGAGAACTGCCTGCCTCTACTCTGAATTCTGGGATTAAATGCCTAAAGCAAGCGGGGTGTACTGGAACAGGCTTGCAGTGCTGTCACTCGGAGACACTGAGATTAGACTGGCTACATAACGGCCGTTAAAATTAATAAAGCTGTGAAGCTGTAAATGTCTAGCCTGCGGTGTTAGCATTTTACCTGAATTGGAAACATGGCTTGATTTTCTTGCAAGTGAACAAACTCCAATTATGGAATTCTTTTCCGGGTGTTTTAAGAGTTTTCTCAGACACGGCTTGGGAGTATCTGACTTCACTGAAATCAGACCAGGACCAACCCTTTGAGCAAGAAATTGAATGCCAGCCTTCTCAACATATAAAGTATCAGTATAGGCCTTTTTTGTTAAGGCTATACAAATAATCTGAAAGTAGTGGGTGAAGATTCGGTTTTAGTTTGTAGTTCTAGATCATATTGGTTCCTCTGGGGCTTTATAAGATTACTGATTCTGATTTGATTACTGATTCTGATCAGGACTTTTTCCCCTAATACTTGCCCTCAGAAGAACAGGAATGGAGTACAAATCCTTAGTCTGCAGTGTGAAAACAAACTCAGTATAAGGCTAAGGGTTCGAGATAATCTCATCTGAAAGACATATTTAAGCTCCAGTAAGATAATGATGCATTATGACGACTAGTGAAATCCTAAATGTCATTGGAAAGAAACTTTTATTCAAAGTATATTTTGGGACTGGCTGTGGTAGCCTGTAAACCACAAATCTCAGGAGGTTGAAGCAGGAGTTTGAGTCTGGACAGCCTTTACTACCTAGGAGACCAGGTTTCAAATAAGCAAACCGAAACAGCCGGGTGTGGTGCACACCTCTATAATCCCACTACTTAGGAGTTGGAGACTGGAGGATCAGAAGACCAGCCTAGGCTACTTGAGACACACTTTTAGTCCCAGCACTTGGGAGGCAGAGGCAGGCCCATCTCTGTGAGTTCCAGGCCAACTGGGGCTACAGGGAGAGCCTGTCTCAAAAAAAAAGAACAATAAAAAAGGCCAGGCTTGGTGCACTCCTTTAAATCCTAGCACTTGGGAGGTAGAGGCTATCAGATCTCTGAGTTCCAGGCCAGCCAGGCTACATAGTAAGGCATTGTCTTAAAAAAAATGAGTTCAATTCTCAGCACCCACATGGCAGGTACGAACCGTCCTTAACTCCAGTTCCAGGGGAATCCAAAGCCCTCTTCTGACCTCTGTGGCATTGCACAACATGGGTGCAGACATACATGCAGGCAATACACTCATAAAATAAAAATACACACATAAAATTAATAATCCAAAAAGGTGTATATATGTTCAAGAATTTTTTGCTTTTTAAATTCTGAGACAGCTGTGTGTGGTGGCATGTACATGGCTTTAATCTCAGTAGAAGCAAGTGGATCTCAGAGTTCCAGGCCAACAAGGGTTACATATTGAGATCTTGTCTCAAAAAAAAAAAAAAAAAAAGAGGGACTGGGCTAGAGAGATGTCTCAGCAGTTAAGAACATGTGCTGTTCAGAGCACCCAGACTTGGTTCCCAGTACCACATAGCAGCTAACAACTGTCTGTAACTCCAGTTCGGGGAATTTGACACCCTCCTCTGGCCTCCTTGGTGCACTTACATACAAGCAGGCAAAACTCGTACACATAAAATAAAGATTAAAATTTTTAAAATTTGTTTAGGTCTCCCTAGAATCCCAGCTGGCCTAGAACTGGCTCTTGATTGAAGACATGCACCACCCTGCCCAGCTAAAAGATGTTTTTGAGCCAAAGTCTTCTTGGGATTACAGGAGGACCATATCATAGCTGGTGCTTTGTCTTGGTTTCAGTTGGATTTCAGGGCTTCAAATTTTTGTCCCAAATTGATGTCTTTTTTTTTTTGATTTTGGTCTTTTTTGAGACAGGCTCTTCCTGTAGCCCCAGCTGGCCTGGAACTCCCTATGTAGACTAGATTGGCCTTGAACGCACCCAGATCTGCCTGCCTTTGCCTCCTGAGTGCTGGGATTAAAGGTATGTTTTACCATGCCAGCAAAATCCTTTCTTTAAAGAAAAAAAATACAAAATTCCTCTACAAATTTTTCTATGGCCATCTTTTTAATTCTCTTAGAAAATACTTAATAGTGGAATATTTTCTAAAGTGGCTGCATCATCTTGCATTCTATAAGCAGTCTTTTTTATTATAGCCAAGCTATGAAATGGTATCTCGTGGTTTCGATTTACATGTCCCTGACGACTGATGTTGAATGACTAACTGGCCCTTTGTAGATCAAATTCTTTTCCAATTTTGCTAGATTCTTTTATTCAGAAAAAATGATTTTTACCTTCTATATGTTACAGATCCTAGTGACCTTGATCTGAGAGTAAATCTACTGGTGGTATCTGATCATTAAGAATATAGGGGATCTTTGGTAGAAGTTCCAAGCCATTGCTTTCACATTTATTGAAAACTTGTAGGATCCTGCAAAGTGTAGATAGTAAAGATTTGATGGTAAGTGACATGTTCACAGCTGTCCAGATGACATCATGGCAGACTAAGGGAACTGAATGCACAAAAGAAAACTAGCTGCAGGTAATTAGGCAAAAGGCACTATCCAGAGAATTCAGAGAAAATTCTAAAGGCTTGGAAGGTTTGACAGGTGGGAAGATAAGGTATTTGAACTGTTTTCTTGAGGAGAGAGTGAATCCTTTGGAGTAGAGGGGACGATCTCAGATGCCTGATGGATTTTATGACTAGGGAAATGTTTATGAGCATATTAAAGTTTTTTTTAATTTATTTTTATTTTATGTGTATGCATGTATTGCCTGCATAATAGGTAAGTGCACCCATGTCATACAGTGCCTGCAGAGGTCAGAAGAGACTGTCTAATCCCCTGGGACTGTTGTTACAGACAGTTGTTAGCTGCCATGTGGGTGCTGGGATTCGAACCCAGGTCTTCTGCAAGAACAACTAGTGTTCTTAACCACTGAGCCATCTCTCCAGCCCCTAAAGTTTTTTTTATGTGTGTGACTATTCTTAGATTTTTTTGAGATCTAAGCTTGTGCTTTGTAAAAATCACTGAGTTCTCTGAGACAGAAAGGAGACCAAAGAGAGTCTGTACCCCATCATTTGTGGGAACACAACAGTTTAAGTGACTTGTTCCAAGGCCTATGCTGATAGATAGCAGAGCATATCCTGTCTCCAGTTCCCCTGGTGTCAAAATAGTCTGTTATCTTACTATACCTAAAAAAGGTGAGAAAATTTTCTGTTCTTTAAATGTTATATAAAGATTTGTCTTTTAAAAAATATTTTTATGCCAGGTGTGGTGGCACACACCTTTAATCCCAGCACTTGGGAGGCAGAGGCAGGCAGATCTCTGAGTTCCAGACCAGCCTCCTCTACATAGCAAGTTCCAGGCCAGCTGGGCTACAGTGAGACCCTGTCTCAAAAAGACCAAAGAAATTTTTTTAATTGTTTTTAATTTATTTTATATGTATGAGTGTATTGCTTGAGGGTGTATAAGTGTGCCTATGTCATGTCATGCCTACAGAAGCGGGTGTCAGATCCCCTGGAACTGGAGTTTCAGACTGCCATGTGGGTACTAGGAACCAAACCCCGCTTCTCTGTGAGAGCAGCTAGTAGCCTTAACCACTGAGCCAAGCTCTTCAGCCCCATAAAGATAATCTTAAAGTAAAAGGTTCTTCAAGACAAAACAGTTGGGCTTGGTGGCACAAGAGGGAGAGACAAAAGGGTTAGGATTCAAGGTCTTCCTTAATTAGCTACATGAATCCTCCTGTCAGAGAAGTTTCATAAAAAATCATATAGGGGCTGGAGAGATGGCTCAGAGGTTAAGAGCACTGACTGCTCTTGCAGAGGTCCCGGGTTTGATTCCAAGCATCCACATGGCAGCTACGAACTGTCCTTAACTCCAGTTCCAGGGGAATCTGAAGCCCTCAACAGGGTTGCACTCATATACAATGCAGGAAATACACTCATACACATAAAAAATAATAAATAAAATATTTTTAAAAAAGAATCATAATATGTAGTGTTTGACTTCTTTCATTTACCATAGTTCAAACTTCCCATGTTTTTTGCTTTTGTATTTTTGCATTTATTTTGGGGGGGGGCACTCCTACCAGGGTGCACATGTGGAGGTTAGAGGACTATTTGCAGAAGTCAGTTCTCTTCTTCCACCATGAGGTTTCTGGGGATTGAACTCAGGTTGCCAGGCGTGGAGGCAAGTACCTTTACTCACTGAACCTTCTTGCTAGCACAGCATAATGTTTAGAGCTTTAGCCGTTTTGTATATAATCTGTTCCTATTCATTGCTGTATTCTGTTGTAGGAATGTGGTATTGATCCATTCTGTGGATGTCTAGGCTGTCTGCACTTTCCATGCTATTATGAGTATATCTTTGACCACTCATGTGTCTTTGGTGACAGAAGTAGAACTGCTGGGTTCAGTTTCAGTAGATAAAGTCAAGTTTTTGTTTTTTTAGGGTCTTGCTATGTAGCCCAGGCTGGTCTGGAGCTCAGTGTCCTACATTAGTTTTCTATGTTCTGGAATTACAGGCATATACTACATTTTTAAATGAATGTACCAATTTATATAGCATACCAGGAGTGTATGAAAATTTGCTCTTGCTTACATGTTCATCAACACGATGTTATCTTTTTAATTTTAGCCATTATTTGAATTATCTGTAATCTCAACACTCAGAATGAGGCAGAAGAATCTTTTTTTTTTCTTTGTCTTTTTGAGACCAAAATCTTTTTGGTCTTTATGGTCTCCCTATAGCCCCAGCTGGCCTGGAACTCACTATGCAAACCAGGCTGGCCTTGATCTCACAGATACCTCCCCAAAATAACTTTTCAAACCAACTGTGGATCCCAGCCCAAAATAGACTAGGTATTTTTAATTTTTAATTTTTTTGTCTTTTTGAGACAGAGTCTCCCTGTAGCCCCAGCTGGTCTGGAACTCACTGTGTAGACCAGGCTGTACTTGAACTTCACAGAGATCTGCCTGCCTCTGCCTTCATGCTGGGACTAAAGGTGTTCGCCACCACCCTCAGCCAAAATAGACTAGATATATCACATGGGCCTAGGTTCTATCAGCCACCCTCCATCACAAGCATGGAGAAGCCCAGGAAGGGGCCACGTCACTGAGGTAACACCAGAGGTTGCCCAGCCCTTACAGGGTCATTCATACATCCTAGCTCCAATCCTCACTCATTCCTTACTCCCTTTGATACCCAAGGGAATGGAAGTTTGGATGCCCTGAACACCCTCTGCTTCTCATCCCACCTCCCTTCCCCAAAGATCATGCCCAGCTTTTTGCCAGCTGTTTTTGCAGTAGGTTGTCACCAGTGCGCTCTTATGTTAAGAGTTTATTTCATGAATGTTTTGTCTGGATTTTCTTTTATATATAGAATCATTTACCAAAGTTGTTAGATATTCTTCAGAATGAATATAATAATTTTGCTGGTGTGGCATTTGTTTAACAAAGGGGAATGGTTAAGAGTTCATTAAACTATATGTTTTTTTTTCATTTATTTTAGTATTAAGGCCACTGAGAAACTAGTCTATTTAGTTCTTGAAAATACTGCTTTTAGTCTTAAGGCAGTGATGGTGGATCTTACAGGCAAATGATTTTATTTTTTGCTTATCAGTGAGGTGCTGGCAGAGGAGTCCATCGTATGTCTCCAGAAAGCCCTAACTCGCCTTCGAGAAATATGGGAATTAATTGGGATTCCAGAGGAGCAACGATTACAAAGAACCGAAGTTGTGAAGAAGCACATCAAGGTGAGTTGAGTGGCACTGGTCTCTTTGCAGTGGGCCAGTGGAGATGCTACTGCCTCAGTTGAGATAGCACAATAATAATAAAAGAATTTTTAAAAATATTTTATTTATTTATTGTTTTTATTTTATCTGTGTGAGTGTTATGCCTGCATGTAGGTAAGTGCACTCATGTCATGCAATTCCCTCGGAGGACAGAGAGTATTATCAGATCTCCTGGAACTGGAGTTATGGGCAGTTGTTAGCTGCCATATGGGTGCTGGGATTCAAACCCAGGTCTTCTGCAAGAACAGTGTTCTTAACCATTGAGCCATCTCTTCAGCCCAAGAAAAGAATTTTTAGAAAGAAATATCTGGTCACACATTCTAGGATATCACAGACTTTTCCTGGTTTTGTTTGTTTAGTCTTTTCTATCTATCTAATTTTGAAGTTACAGGGATTTTGGTATTTTTATGGGTTTTTTATTTATTATTATTGTTTTGTTTCAATATTCCCAGTGGACCCCAACTTTTATGGACCATTTTCTCTTACAGGATCTTCTGGATAGGATGATTGCTGAAGAGGAGAGCCTCAGGGAAAGGCTTCTCAAAAGCATATCCATCTGCCAAAAAGAGCTGAGCACCCTATGCAGTGAGTTACAAGTCAAGCCATTTCAGGTATGTGACAGCACAGGCCTTGGGAGATTGATTTGGGGCTGAGATTTAGGAAGACATGTTGACTTAGGGCAGCAAATGGAAAGCTTCTTTGCAGGGGTAGTGTTAGACATGAGAAATATAAAAGACATGCCGTCTAGCTAATAATTCTAGTAAAGTAATCTTCATATAGGTAGAGTTGCCATGTTAATAGATGAAGCCACTAATACATTATCAAAAACTTCTTGCACCGGCAGAGGCAGGTGGATCTCTGTGAGTTCAAGGCCAGCCTGGTCTACATAGTTCCAGGACAGCTGGGGCTACAGGGAGACCCTGTCTCAAAAAGCCAAAAAAAAAAAAAAAAAGAAAGAAAGAAAAGAAAAAAAGACTCACTTGGGATCTTATAATAGTTTTGTGTTATCTTATACAGGAAGAAGGAGAAACAACTGTCTTACAACTAGAAAAAGATTTGCGCACTCAAGTAGAATTGATGAGAAGACAGAAAAGGGAAAGAAAGCAAGAGCTTAAGCTACTTCAAGAACAAGATCAAGAACTGTGTGAAATTCTTTGCATGCCCCACTATGACATTGACAGCACCTCTGTTCCCACCTTAGAACAGCTGAACCTCTTCAGACAACATGTGGCAACTTTGAGGGAAACAAAGGTACACTACCTACATTTGTACTACCCTGAAAGTTCATTTGGCCTTCACATATCTTATAATAGTTCTGTTGTTTAGGAATCTAGGCATGAACAATTCGTCAGCATTAAGAGACAAATCATACTGTGTATGGAAGAATTAGAACACACTCCAGACACGAGCTTTGAAAGAGATGTGGTGTGTGAAGATGAAAGTGCCTTTTGTTTATCGTTGGAGAATATTGCAACACTACAGAAGTTGCTACAGCAGGTAATGGTCAAATTATGGTGTAGCATCTCAGTAGTATTCAGCAGTTTGAAAAAACTGACAGCTTTTTCTTTTTTCTTTAGTCTTAAATAAGGAGCCAATGCAAGTTAAGTCTAAGGGAGGGCAAACATAACTATGTATCCATTTATTTAGTGTGTGTGTGTGTGTGTGCGCGCGCACTTGAAGCCAAAGGTCAACTACTGGAGCCATCTACCTTGTTTGAGACAAGGTCTCACTGGGACTGGGGGCTCAGCTTGTTCATTAGGCTAGGCTGGCTGGCCAGTGATCTTCAGAGATCTGTCTCTGCCTCACCAGCAATGTGATTACAAGCACGTGCTGCTAAGCTTGGCTTTATGTAGGTTCTAGGACTGAACTCAGATTCTCATACGGGAAACATTTTACTGACAGTTATGTCCCCAGCCCCAATTTACTTATTTTTTTGGTAATAGGACTTGAACTTACCCTAAACCTAGGGGCGTCTCATGAATGGTAAACAAATGCTCTATCTCTGAGCCCTGTCCTCAGCCCTGACCTTTGTTTATTAAAAGCAACAAATCTTTATATGTAAATAAATACAAATTTTACCGTTCTTAGAATAGTAAATGAAAATTTTATTGAAATAGCATTAACCATTTGAATTAGCATAGTGCTTAATGGAAAAAATTATTCAAAAATTTAGCCGGGTGTGATGGTGCATGCCTTTAATCACAGCACTCCCGAGGCAGAGGCAGGCGAATTACTGTAAGTTCAAGCCAGCCTGGTCTACATAGTGAGTTCCAGGCCAGCTGGGTTACAGGGAGACCCTGTCTCAGAAAGACCAAAAAAAAAAATAAAAATTTAATCCTATTCTAGGTCTGAAGTACTATAATGACAGCCTTATAGCCTATGTTCAGAAGACATGAAAACATGCCTCTTAGCATTCATGTAAAAATGAGCCAGGTGCCTTTCTGGCAGTGATAACCTCGCTATGAGAATATGTATCTCAGAAGGGATTTCTTTCATCCCTCTCCAGAAGAGAAGAGAAAACATAGGAAGTGCCTGGTACAGAGCCCCAGTTCCTAATTCATGGATGTGAAATGCCCAGGATGCTATCGTGTTTAGCCATGCGCAAATGATGTTCTTCTGTGTTGGCTGCTCCTACAGGAGGAAAAGCTAGGCTGACAGAAGAATGTGCCTTTAGGAGGAAGCAGCACTAAAAGTACCCTGAATCAAGATGAGTGAGAAACCATCCCAATAAACACATTTTGGATTTAAAAAAAAAAAAAAAAAAAAAAAAAAAGCCAGGTGTGATAATATATACCTGAACTATAATCTCAGCACTTAGGAGGTTGAGTCAAGTTCAAAATTAGCCTGGGCCTGGACTACTTAGAATAGGAATGTGTATGGGCTTCATGAAAGTACTTTCTCTCCTCCTAGGCATAGACCTTCCTCTCTGGGTAGTCCAGAAAGCCAGCCTTTGCTATTAGGGTATAACCACTGCCTTTCGTTGCTGTAGCTGGAAGTGAAAAAATCACAAAATGAAGCAGAGTGTGAGGGGCTCCGTGCTCAAATCCGAGAGCTCTGGGACAGGTTACAAATGCCTAAAGAAGAAAGAGACTCTACGGCCATAAATATGACTGGATCAAAAGCCAAAGTCAGGAATGCGGTAAGAAAACCCAATGAATGCTGGGCAAATGGTGTTCTATGAGCTTTTTTGGGTCCAGCCTGACGTCCTTACTGGCATTTTCCTTGGGCCAGCAAAGAGTAGCAAATAGCCTGTTTTATTTTATGGACACTTTTCTTAGATTTCTGGCTCCTCTAATGTTATAAAGCATGTTGATTTATCTCTGTAGCTTTTGTTGCAATTTTATTGAAATGCAGAAAGATATTTTATAAACCTAAGTGGGTATAAAAGTTACGGCTATAACTCTTGTCTTTTTCTTTCAGCTGCAATTAGAAGTGGATCGGTTGGAAGAACTGAAAATGCAAAACATAAAGAAAGTGATTGAGGCAATTCGTATGGAGCTGGCTCAGTTCTGGGACCAGTGTTTTTATAGCCAGGAGCAGAGACAAGCTTTTGCCCCTTACTATACTGGTTAGTACAGAGGTAGTAATCTTTATGTGGCCTGCCTCAGTGATCTTTTACAAGCCCAAACACTTAACATGAAGTTCTATATTTCTAGCTCTGAGCAGATATAGCCAACTCTTAAAAATATTATCTCACTTAGTCTTCATGTCAGGAAGGCACTAAGGTACATCATTCTTTTGAGCCAGGGTCTCACAGTGTACCCCTGGCTGGCCTGGAACTTAATTGTGTAGACCAGGCTGCCTTCAAAACTCATAGAGGTCTGCCTGTCTCTGCCTCCTGAGTGTTATGATTTTTCGTTTGTTTGTTTTTAATATTTTATTATTTTTATGAGTGTATTGCCTGCATGTGTATAAGTGCACCCATGTAGTGTAGTGCCCACGGAGATCAGAAGAGGGCATCCGATTCCCCTGGAACTGAAGTTATGGATGGTTGTTAGCCATCATTTGGGTGCTGGGAATTGAACCCGGGTCCTCTGCAAGAGCAGTCAGTGCTCTTAACCACTGAGCCATCTCTCCAGCCCCTGATTTAGCTGTTTTTATTGCATGTGTTAGAGTGTTTGTATATCTTGTACTACATGCACACAATGCCTGTGGAGGCCAGAAGAGGGCCTCAGATTCCCCTGGAACTGGAAAGCTGTCATGTGGAGGCTGTGAACTGAACCCCAGTCCTCTACAAGAGCAGCCAGTGCTCATAACTGCTGAGCCATGTCTCCAACCCTCTATGGGTTGTTTTGGTTTTTAGGGGGTTTTTTTGTTTTTGGTTGGGTTTTTTTTTTTGGTTTTTTTTTTTTCATACAGAATGAGTCATGGATGGTTCTTAGCTGCCATGTGGGTGTTGTGAATTGAACCTGGGTCCTCTGCAAGAGCAGTCAGTGCTCTTAACTACCGAACATCTCTCCAGTCCTTGATTGAAATTTTTTTGGTTTGTTTTGAGGGGGGGTATCTTTTTGAGATAGGGTCTCCCTGTAGCCCCAGCTGACCTAGAACTCACTATGTAGACCAGGCTGGCCTTGAACTCACAGAGATCTGCCTGCTTCTGCCTCCCAAGTGCTTGGATTAAAGGCTTGCGCCACCTCACCCAGCTGGTTTGTTTTGTTTTTTTGAGACAGAATCTCACTATGTAGCCCTGGCTGGCCTACAACTCACTATATAGACCAGGTTGGCCAGGAACTCACCAAAGATCCATCTGCCTCTTCCTCTAGAGTGCTGAGATTAAAGGCATGCCACCAAGTTCCTGTATAATTTTATTATAAGGAGGAAATCTTCCATTTTGGGGTGGTGGTGAGTTAGTTAATTGGAATACTAAACTACTAAGCCTATCTGTTGCAGAGGACTACACAGAAAACCTGCTCCATCTTCATGATACTGAGATTGTACGGTTAAGAAACTATTATGAAGTTCACAAGGAGCTATTTGAAGGTGTCCAGAAGTGGGAAGAGAGCTGGAAGCTTTTCCTAGAGTTTGAGGTAATGCCCTAGTTTTTGTCTGTTCTTCTCTAGAGTAAAATGATGCATCATGAAAGCATACCAGGTTTGATGGCTCACACCTTTAATCCCAGGATTTGGGAAGTTGAGGCAGGAGGGTTACCATGAATTCCAGGCCAGCCTGTTTTTCAAAGAAAAAAAAGAAAATTTATAAGTAGGAAAGTAGGACTTGGAGGTGCAAAATAAACTGAGAGATTTTGCAACTAGTTTTCAGGTATTCCTTTTGGTTGAGAAAAAAAAAGGAAAAGGAATTATGAATACAGAGATAAAGCAGCTTCACTGGTTTACACACCCATATATAAGAGAAGAAATAAAAGAATTATTGCCCCCATACTTAATTTTTATAGGCTGTGGCAGTCAAGCAATTTGTCAAGAATACAAATTAGGGGGCTGAAGAGATGACTCAGTGGTTAAAGCACTGGTTGTTCTCGCAGAGGACCCAGGTTCGATTCCCAGCACCCACATGGTGGCTAACAGCCATCTGTAGCTTTAGTTCCAAGGGCTCTGACATCCTTGGGCACTGTGTGACGGGTATACTTACACACATATAGGCATAACACTCATACACATAAAATAAAAATAATAAAATTTTAAAAAGTACTGATTAGGGCTGGAGAGATGGCTCAGCGGTTAAGAACACTGGTTATTCCTCCAAGGTACTTTACCAACTGAGTCATCTCCCACTCTTCTAGGTTTTAGTCTAATAAAATGTATTTTTCATAGAGAAAAGCTTCAGATCCAAGTCGGTTTACAAACCGGGGAGGAAATCTTCTAAAAGAAGAAAAGCAACGGGCAAAGCTCCAGAAAACACTCCCTAAGGTAACATTGTTTGGGGTCACTATGTGAGTTTTCTAGGGCTGCCATAGTAAAGTACCTTAGAATAGTTGGCTTACTAGAAATTCATCTGCTTCTGGAAGCTAGAACTATGAGATGAAGGTGTTGCCAGGACTGGGTCTCTTCTGAGACCTTTTTGTTAGCTTAGAGATGGCCATCTTCTGTTCCATGTCTTCACATGGTCTTTCCTCTCTGTCTTTGTCCTCATCACCACCAGTCCTATTGGATTAGAGCCTTTCCTGATGACCTAGTTTAAACTCACTTTTTTTTTTTTTAAATATTTTATTATTTTTATTTTACGTGTATGAGTGTATTGCCTGCATGCATGTGAGTGTACCTGTGTTGTGCAGGTCAGAAGAGGGTTTCGGATTCCCCTGGAACTGGAGTTAAGGATGGTTCGTAGTTGCCATGTGGGTGCTGGGAATTGAACCCGGGTCCTCTGCAAGAGCAGTCAGTGCTCTTAACTGCTATGCTATCTCTTCAGCCGTGAACTCATTTAACTTTCTAATGACTGTCTCCAGATAGTAACAATGAAATACTGGGAGTTAAGGCTCCAAAATGAATTGTGGGGTAACAATTCACCTATAAGGCAAGCTTTTATAACATGCTATGGGCTTTATTACTGTCTTCTATTAATAGCCTTTATTGACTTATGCCAGATATTATTTTATTCATATCTCTATATCTCTATAGGTTGATATTATTTCCATGTTTAGAGATGAATGAACTGAGATTCTGAGGGGTTGAACTTACCTTTCATAGCCAGTAAGAGGTTGATTCCATATTGAAACCTAAATGGTGTGGTTCCATAGTCCTGTTCATAATATACCCTGTCTAGCTATTGTCTAGCTATTGTTTCTGATTATCCCAGTGCTACCTTCAACTTAGGCATCAAAACCTCAGTTTTCAGACCAGGTCTTTGCCTTTTTCTACCTTAGTGTATGTCTTGAATGAACCATCTCTAGCCTTTGGTTTCTGGTCACTCTGACCTATATCCATATGGATCCAGCTATCTGAAGTTAGGCTGATGATATTCTGGGAAAGACAGTCTTTCTTTAGGGTAATTCTTACATTTGAGGTGAACACCAAAGATTTGACATAGTATGTCTTTGTTTCTGGCCTCAGCTAGAAGAGGAGTTGAAAGCACGGATTGAAAAGTGGGAACAAGAGCAATCAATGGCATTTGTGGTGAATGGGCAGAAATTCATGGAATATGTTGCAGAACAGTGGGAATTACATCGGTTGGAGAAAGAAAAAGCCAAACAGGAAAGAGTAAGTTATGCACACAAATTGGAAAAAGAAGAGCAATTTGAGTAAGCTAGCATCTCTGCCAGGCATCACGGCTGGTTGAAGAATAGGTTGACTGCAGCAGCTCCTATCTCAGGCTGCAGAGATTTTCCCCTAGGTTTGCCCTGCTTTCTTACTGGAGCCCATCACTGTTGCTTCTGATTTTCATACAGCAACTAAAGAATAAGAAGCAGATGGAGACAGAGATGCTGTATGGCAGTACTCCCCGGACACCTAACAAGCGTCGAGGGCTGACTCCTACCACCCCCGGCAAAGTGCGCAAGGTACATTTGATCTTCATGCTGTTGCTGTTTGTAAGGAAGTGGGGAAGCTAGGGTTCTTTGCTCTTTCTTGCCTTCTGTCCTACTACTTAAGAAGGTAAAAGGGCTGGGCGTGGTGGTGTACGCCTTTAATCCCAGCACTCGGGAGGCAGAGGCAGGCGGATCTCTGTGAGTTCAAGGCCAGCCTGGTCTTCACAGTGAGGTCCAGGACAGCTGGGGGTACAGGGAGACCCCGTCTCACAAAGAACAAAAAAAAAAAAAAAAAAAAACAAAAAACAGGAAAAAAAAAAAAAAAAAAAAAAAAAAAAAAAAAAAAAGAAGGTAAAAGGATTTTTGCCTTTCCAGGCTGAATCTATTTGAGAGTGAATAGAATAAAAGTTTAATGCTGAGTAGAAGCTTATAATGACTTTAAGGAGTGGCCAACTCTGTTGTCTGCCAGTTATTTACTAAGTCCTTGCATTAAACTCTTGGGACCTAGTAATTTCCAGCGTTCTGTGTTAACAGCTTTCAAAAGTTTGTCACCCTTTTATTCCAACAGGTACTAGGTATCTCAGTACTAGATAAAAGACAACTTTCATGCTTTTAGTAACCGCCTCTAGAGTGCTGGGATTATAGGCATGAGCCACCACACCTAGCATTTTATACATTTTTTAAAAAATGAGGTAAAGCATGTGCAAGGCCAGGGTTGAATCACCAACACTAAAAAAAAGTTTATGCCAGGTTTGGTGGTGCACACCTTTGATCCCAGCACTTGGGAGGCAGAGGCAGGCCGATCTTTGTGAGTTCAAGGCCAGCCTGATCTACATAGCAAGTTCTAGGCCAGCTGGGGCTACAGGGAGACCCTATCTCAAAAAGAAATACCTATGCACTGTTATGCACAGCTGACGTTACCATGGAAGCTCTGAATGCTTTCATGCTCACTTCTCTGTTGGGCAGAGCTGGGTTGTTAGAAAGTCTTACCTCACATCTGTCATGTGTCTGCTCTTCTCCTTAGTTTATAACTTTTATAACTAAGGTTTATAACTTTTGAGTATAATAAAGATATAATATTTGGAACTTGAGCGATGGCTCAGCAATTAAGAACACTGGCTGCTCTTGAGAAGCCCTGGGTTTGAATCCTTGCGTCCACATGGTGACTAACAACCATCCATAATTCCAGCTCCAGGGGATCCAACACTTTCTTCTGTCCTCTGACACTGCACGACGGGTATACTTACATACTATGTAGGCATGACACTCATACACTCAAAATAAAAATGTTTATAAAGGTGTAATATTTAAAGTGTATTTTGTTAGGTTTTGATATGTGTATATACCACAGTACCATCAATCACCACAATCAAAATAATGGACATGTAAGACTCCTAGTGCTACTTTGTATTCCCCTCCTCCTTCATCAGCTGCTGGCAACCAGGGATTTGCTCAGTCACAAAAGATTCATTTGCATGTTATAATATTTTATATAAATAGAATCATGCAGTATATTTTGTAGGGTTTCTTCCATTTAACATGTTTATGCGATTTATTCATGTTGCATGTAATAAGTCATTTTTGTTATTGAGCAATATTCCATCTTATGACTGTTTCAGTCCTTGTCACCTGTCAAGGGATATTTGTTTCTAACTTTGAGCTATTACAGAAAAAATTGCTATAAACAGCTGGGCACTTGGGAGACAGAGACAGGCAGATCTTTGTGAGTTGGAGGCCAACCAGGGCTACATACTAAGACCATCTCCCAAAACAAAACATTGTGTGTAAGTCTTTATGTAAATATATAATTTTTCTTGTGTAGAATGTTTGGGTCAAATTGCAGGTATGTTGTGCCATAAGTGGTTCTATCAGTTTACAGTTCCATCTGGTAGGTATAAATAGGCTTTGATCATTGCTTGAGTTTCCTTAAAGCTATGCACTGTTATGCACAGCTGACGTTACCATGGAAGCTCTGAATGCTTTCATGCTCACTTCTCTGTTGGGCAGAGCTGGGTTGTTAGAAAGTCTTACCTCACATCTGTCATGTGTCTGCTCTTCTCCTTAGTTGAACACTACCACCATATCCAGTGCTACACCCAATAACAGCATTCGACCTGTCTTTGGGGGAACAATGTACCGCTCCCCTGTGTCTCGACTTCCTCCTTCTGGCAGCAAGGTTAGTATGCTCTGTACAAGCACATCCCTGTGTACTACCTGTTTTCTCAGAAGCCTTCTACTTACCTAGTTTCTAAGATTCATGGGTTTGGTGATTATTAAGAGTTAACAAAGAAAGCTGGGTGTAGTGGCACACCCCCTTTAGTCCCAGCACTTGGGAGGCAGAGTCAAGTGGATCCTTCAAGGCCAGCCTGGGTTACAGACCAGCTGCAAAGTGAATTCCAGCAAGTTCCAGACCAGCTACAAAGTGAGACCCCATTTCAAAAAAAAAAACAAACAACCAAGCCTGCACATTTTATAAAGCCCTAAGTGTAGGATTACAGACATATGAGTGGTATAAATGTGGTATTAGCTATTAGGGGTTTTGTGTATATGTACATTCATTCTAAGGTGATACTAGATGGATGTTTTTCCTTTCTCTGTAGTCAGTTGTCAATTCTATGTGTTCTGGAAAGAAAACACCTCGATCTGCCCGGCTTGGGGCCAACAAGGAGAACATGGAGCTCAATGGCAGCATCCTGAGCGGTGGGTACTCTGGCTCGACCCCCCTCCAGCACAACTGCAGCATTAATTCTGTTGCCAGCACCTATTCTGAGTTTGCGGTAATTCACCTTTTCTAATATCTACCAGTCTCTGGGGAGCACACAGTTGGGGCACAGTGGGTATCTTCCTAGGCTATTTAGTCAGGACAGTTACCTGGGAGGCTGAGAATCCCTTTCCTGCCTTGATCATGGTGAGGGTGTGGGTGGTGTAAGAGTATATAGGAAGGAAGTTGATGTCAGCAACAAAACATTTAATCTGGATCCTTCTGCTTAAGCTGTACCACTCCCTGGCTGCAGGGGGTAACCTGCTAATCACCGCCCTGGTGCTCTCTTGGTGGAGTTCTTGGTAATTGTCTTAATTCTTTGTTCTTAGAAGGATCCATCCCTCTCTGACAGCTCCAATGTTGGGCTTCAGGTCTGTATGGCAACCCCTGCATGTCCCATGTCCCCTTTCCAAACTGATCTGTCATCTGCTGGCTTCATTCTCATCTGGGCACAGGACTACACTAACCCATAATCTCAGCTGTATCCTGTATCATCAGAGAACCTTTTTTTTCCTTTTTTTAAACGAAGAAAACAAGAATTCCTATTATAGACTCCAAAAATATATATCTGGTTTATGTTTCTGATAGACTAACTTGCTGACTAGTAAGAAAACTTATTCAGGCTTGGATTCTCAGCCCCACCTAAGATTATGCAAAGATATTTTTTTAACCTGTTTAACCAAAACAAAACAAAAAAAAACCCAACTGCCTCACTATTCCCAACTGTGATACCAAAGACCCCATCATATGGGGATGAGAGCCCCAGCTGTGTGCTGCTTATACTGAGGTTCTTGGCCTGTGTGCTGATTATTTCCTGGAGTATATGCCTTACTAACCCTCAGGGCTGAATCACTTACTGTCTGTGTTCACTGACCTATGCTCATTTCCTTGCCTTTATTTCTTTATACCACATTGAGCTACTAAGGTATGTGTAAAGCACTGGGTGAAAGTACTTTTTTTTTTTTTTTTTTTTTTTTTTTTGGTGTTTTTGAGACAGGGTCTCCCTGTAGCCCCAGCTGGCCTGGAACTCAGGGATCCACCTACCTACCTCTGCTTACCAAGTGCTCAGACTAAAGGTGTGCACCATCACACCTGGCTTGGAAGTAGATTTTCACAGTGTGGTCTCCATCTTCTAGTATCCTGATCTGAATCTACTAACATGTAACTGCAATGCTTTTTTCTTAACCAGATGCTCTCTCTTCCCTTGATGTCTTACCAGTAAGGGGTGAGGTTACCTTCACCCTTGTGGGGAATACTAAGTTAAAGCCTAGGCTGCCTCCTCTCTTGTTACCAAAGAGGAGAATGGGATATATAATGGGTTTGGCCAGTTTGGAACATTGACACTGTCCTGGCCCTTCTCTACAATTACCTGTGTGGTATTTCTACCTATAGAAATGGGTATATATAGTTCTGGCTAGTTGATTGCTGGACAGCAGGTCCAGCTTCCCTATTTTTGCTTGCTCAGCCAAAGCCCATTTCATCTTTTTGAAGCCTAATCATACCTGCCTATCTCTGGCTAAGCCTAGAGGGGGTTCATCTGGTATTGGTTGCTTTGGCTGATAAGACTCCACCAGGCAGCACAAAAGCTACTCAATTAACCCCTACTAATAACTGTCTTTCTCAGTGACCATTCAAGCTTTATCTTCTGCTTCTCCACCATGTACTCCAGCATGAGATCAAATCACCAGCAGGTTACAAGGCCCTCAGCCCCAGGGATTGATAGATAAATGGTCTGGCCCAGTGATTTACAAAGGACTCAAGAAACAAAAGCTTCTATCTAGCATGTACAAGGTCCTGGGTTCTGTCCCCAGCAAAAAAAAAAAAAAAGCTTGTTGCTTTCTGTTAAGACAACTCAGACAACTCCAGGCATTGCTTTGTGAAGTAGCTTTGTAATGGGTTTCTCTGGTAAGGCTTTATAGAGTGGACTGGCTGAGGACAGTGGGCAGGGGCATGTGTGCACATGTGTTGGCCTATGACTAACAGAATGATTCTCAGAGTTCTTCACTGTCTGTTCCTAGTACAGCATATGCTAAGAAACTGACTCAGGGAAACTGTCCTGGGGGTGCTTTCTGCTGACACTTAACCATGCTTAGAATGGAGGGGTATGCATGATAGGGTAGTGCTGTCACTGATGTTCTTTATTTTTCAACAGCGAGAACTTTCAAAGGCTTCCAAATCTGATGTTACTTCTCGAATCCTCAATTCAACCAACATCCAATCCTGAGAATCCCTGACCAGTCAGTCAACTGTGGCTTCCTGTGCCTAGACTGTGCTTAGACTTATATTATACAGGGTGACTTTATAGTTTTTCTTCAGTTTAGGCATGTTTGAAACCCTGGACAGGTTTGCTACCATGAGCCTATCTTAGACATGAATGAGTGTGACAGATGAAAATCCTTTATAGGTATAGTGGGTCTGTGGAACCCGTTTTTATTTTTCACTCGAGAAATACCTTAAAACTTAATTTGTGTCAGTTAAGTATGAATTTTAACATCTGGTACCGAAATTCTTTCCTTACCCCATTATTCTACTTGATGAAGAATGATCAAGGTTTTATTTCACCTTTATATTGGAAAATGATTGACTGTGCCCAACCTTGGGGTATGAGACATGAAGTAATTCTGACTTGTAGATTTATAATTAGAAATTAACATCTTTTTGTGTAGGGATATTCAATTAATGCTATAGCTATGATTACTTTGTTCTTATCTAGAGGCCTGTCCCCATCACTCATCCTGATGTAGATGTCTTGTGGTTCAGCATTTGAGATGACATGACCTGTCAAAGAGTAGCAGGGAGGATGAGAGCTTCTTTGTTAGTTGTATAGTTGTGTTATATAGTACAGTCTTTATGGGTGGGGTATATGTGTATATGAGCATACATGCTTGTCTGAACTGTTTCTTGAGATTTTTCTCTGGTTCTAGTCCCCCTGTCCCATTTCCTACTATGCTAAGTTCTACCCCCTGCAGTTGCCAACCAAATGGAGAGGCTGTCTGAGTGGGTTGGGCCATTTTGTCCTGGACTTAGCAACTTTGCACAAGTCACTATGAAGGAGTTGTTCCTGCAATAGCATCCATAGTGAGGCTCCTCCTTTATCTACACTGTCCATCACTACTGCTCTTCCCAAAGCACTATTATTTATTCTTACTCTGCTGTGCCAGTTCTGTCAACACATTAAATGGTTCCTAAAAACTTACCAGTATGGACTTGGTCTGTAGGCTTCAGCATGTTGTTTAGTCACATATATATGTTCTGTTTTTAAAATATAAATATATTCTTAAAATAAATTAAAATGTATATAGTTATTGTTCAAAAACTACATGTGGTGTTTGTTTTTATTTTTCCCCAAATCAATTCTTTGGTTGTTTTGGCCTGTGGATTAAACCAACTAAAAGATTAAAAGGACTTATAAGAAATTTTCAGTTATGAGTATGATTTTTTTTTTTTTGGCTTGCCTCCCGAGTGCTGAGATCAAAGGAATGTACCACCATGCCCATCTCTTGAGTATGATTTTTATATTCTTTGTGCATTTCTCAATTAAGAATCTCTTATTCTCAGAATAGAGTTAAGAGAATTAACTCTAAAAATAATTTTAGGGGCTGAAGAGCTGGTCAGCGGTTAAGAGCACTGACTATTCTTGTAGAAGACCCAGGTTCAAATCCCAGAACCCACATGTCAGCTAACAATTATCCGTAACTCTAGTTCCAGGGATCTGACACCCTCTTCTGTCCTCTGTGGGCACTGGATGACACAGATGAACTTACACACATGCAGGCACAACACTCATAAAATTTTTTTAAATGTAAAAAAATTTTTTACGGTCTTTTTGAGACAGGGTCTTCCTTTATCCCCAGCTGACCTGGAACTCACTATGTAGCCCAGGCTGGCCTCAAACTCAGAGATCTGCCTGCCTCTGCCTCCTGAGTGCTGGAATTAAAAGTGTGCACCACCACACCTGGCTTAATTTTTTTTATTTTAAATTATATGCGTATGTGTCTGTATGCACGTGAGTGTAGGTACCTGCAGAGGCCAGGAGTATTGGATTCCCCTGGAGCTGGAATTCCAGGTGGTTGTGAGCCAACATGTAGGTGCTGGGAACTGAACTCAAGTATCCTTTAAGAGCAGTACATGCTCTTAACTGCTTAGCTATCTTTCCAGCCCAAAAATTATTATAAAAGATTTTTATTAGCCAGGTGTGGTGGCGCATACCCTTAGTCCCAGCACTTGGGAGGCAGAGGCAGGTGGATCTCTGTGAGTTCAAGGCCAGCCTGGTCTACATAGCAAGTTTCAGGCCAGCTGGAACTACAGGGAGACCCTGTCTCAAAAAGACAAAAAGATTCATTTATATTTTATGTGTATGTTCTGCCTGCCTGTATGTAAGTGCACCTGTGTCATGCAGTGCCTGCAGAGGGCAGAAGAAAGCATCAGATCCCCTGGAACTGGTGTTATAGGCAGCTGTTAGCCACCATGTGGGTCCTAGGAACTGAATTCAAGTCAAGTGAAAGTAGCCAGTGTAACTGCTGAGCCATCTCTCCAGCCCCAAGAATTAAATATAAAGAACTGAGGAAATATTAGGAAGCATTCTAGTTCATTGTCATTTGTTATACCAACAGGAATAATTTTATTGGTGAGACTTAAAAACAGCTTTGTGGTACAACTGATAAAAACTGCTATAAAGTATATACTTTGATAATTTGGATATAATGCACACCTGTGAAGTAATCACCCTGTTTCCTCCCGCTCCTTTAGAGATCTTCCCTCCTATCATCCCTTCAGTTACAGTCACTGATCTGATTGATACTGAGTTAGCTTACATTTTTCCAGTTTCCAGAAGTAGAATCATAATATACTTTTTTTAAAAAAAAAAAAAACTTTTATGTATATGACTGTTTTGCCTATGTGTATGTAGGTGTACCATGTAGATGCAATTTCTGTGAGGCCAGAAGGGTGATGGATCCCTGGAACTGGAGTTAAGGACAGTTGTTAGCCATCATGTGGGTGATGGGATTCCAACCTGGGTCCTCTGCAAGAGCAGCCAGTCTCTTAACCAATGAACCATCTCTCCAGCTCCATATTCCATTTTCTGTTTTGTTTTTGTTTTTTTGAGACAGGGTCTCCTTGTAGGCTCAACTGACCTGGAACTATGTAGACCTGATCTCATAGAGATCTGGCCTTTCTCTGCCTCCCGAGTGCTGCACTTAAAGGCATGCACCACCATACCTAGCTATAATATACTTTGTGTAAAAGAAGGGGGCCAGAGAGATGGCTCAGCGGTTAAGAACACTGGTTGTTCTTGCAGAAGACCTGGGTTTGAATCCCAGCACCCACATGGCAGCTAATGACTGTAACTCCAGTTCCAGAGTTCCAGGAGATCCGACAGCCTCTTCTGTTCTCCGCGGGCATTGCACAACACGGGTGCACTTACTTACATGCAGGCATAACACTCAACACACATAATTTTTTTTTAAAAAGCTGTGTGTGTGTGTAAGTACTCATGAAGGCCTGAAAGAGAGTGGCCCTCAGATCCCCTCCCTATCCTCTGAGAAAAAAAAATACCCTCCGCCTGACTCTGGAAATCCCCTTCATTGTCTGAACCTTTTCCTGGTATCTGTTTATGATTTCTATGGAAAAGGTCTGGGGCAGAAGAGGTAGAACATTCTGCCCTAGGTGAGCTAGCCAATGACAGTATACTTGATACATCTGTATATGGTCTCTATGGGAATAATCTGGGGCAGAAGAGAAAGAATGTTCTGCCCCAAGTAAGACAGCGAATGGCTGTATAGGTAAAGTCTCTGGAAATCAGCCCTAGATCGTTTCAATCCTTCCTTGTTTATTCTGTGTATAGTTTCTATGGACATCCCCTGCCTTGTGGTTTTTCTGCTTAAAAGCCCTGCATTTTTACTGTTCAGGGTCACAGTACAGCTCCCGAGACTGTCTGTATCCCAAACCAGTTGGCTCCAATAAAACGCTCCTTTTTACTGAGACTCAGTGTCTGAGTGGTCAATTTAGGGAATTTTTCAGACCCCAAACAGGCCAAAAGAGGGCATTGTATCCCTTGGAGTTGTAGTTACAAGTACTTGTGAACTGCCTGGTGTGGGTACTGGGATCTGAACTCTGTTCCTCATGAAAGAGCAATATGTGCTTTTAACTGCTGACACAGCCCCGATAATATACTTCTTTTTGGTTTGTCTTTTCCAGTATTCATTATTTGAGATTCATCCATATTATTGCTTGTATCATAGTTCATTCCTTTTATCACTAGGCAGTATTCTGGTATGGATATACTCTTTTATTCACATGTATAGTCACTTTGGCTTTTTCCATATTGTAGCTATTAATGATTCAGGACTAGGATACAGCTCAGTGATAGAATACTAGTCTAGCACACTGAAGTGCCTGGGTTTGATCCCTGGCAATTCTCTAAAAATAAACTAAACATGTATATGCGTGCATGTGGAGGTCAGAGGACAACTTTAGAGTTCTCTCCTTCCACTATGTAGATCCTGGGGATCAAATATATGTATATTACATATACATGCATGTCAGCTCTTCTTTCTCACCACCGCATACACATAAGTGTTCCAGGGCCCACAGGTAACAGCCTTTACTTGGAGTTCATTTTCCACAAAGTATTCCACACGGCACGGTCGATCCAAGCTGGTGCTGTCCTTATGGCCAAGCTGTCCGTATTTACCTAAAGGGAAAGGAGTCCCCTTTCTCTGCTAGGCCTTATTGCTCTTCCCCTCTAGGAAGGAAGCCAGCCCAGAGACCAGAATGTGGGGCTCGTCTCCTGTGAATCCAGAAGACCAAATCCAGAACTTCCAGGCCAGGCAAGCCTTGGAGTCACCAAGAAGACAGTGACAACTTGCTACTCTGGGCAACAGGCTCCTCCAGGCTTCCATGATACCCAGGCCAAGTTCAGAGCTCAACTCTCCATTTTACCTTTTTTCTACCATGACCAGGACAACACTACAAAGATGAGAAGTGAGCACTCCTTCACAAAGGGAGTTCCCATGTCATCTCATTTCTCTGCTGCCTGGCATGAAGGGTCACATGGCTTTTCAGTTCCACGCCTCGCAGTGATCAGGCTGAGGGCTCTGCCTCCTCTAGTTAGTGTGACTGTCACCTGCCCTGTATTCCCAGGTCCTTTTCCTCCCCTTGGTTTAAGGATTACAAAAACAAACCCTTTACTTACCCCAGCCCCAGGTATAGAGCTCTCCTGTTCCTGTAACCAAAGAGACAGTAAGTAGCTGCCACTACTGTTCTTTGGTGAGACACTTTCTATCCTGGCCTGGCATAACCCATAATAGTATGCTGTAAATCTTCTGAGATGTGCTTGGCACAAAACAACACATGCTCTTATTATTATAACTGTCTGCCATATTTGTGGTGATAAAGGAGCCAGCTGAAAAAAGCAGCTTCCTGAATGTCAACTGATTGACCTGCACTACATGGAGTCAAATGTTGGACTGGGCAGGCTTTGTACCTAAATGAAGGATGGCGAAAATTAGCCACCCTCTAGCAAACTTTCTGGGCCTGACTGGCTGGGGTGCTACATTAAAGCTACATGAGTAGCTTTCTCTTTTTCTGTTTTGTTCTGGTTTTGGGTTGCTTGATTATTGTAGTTTGAGACAGAGTCTCACTATGTAGCCCTGGCTGACTGACCTCAAATTCTCAGTCCTGCCTCAGCCCAAGTCTTAGGATTTGTAGGCATGTGCCACTGTGCCTAGCATGAGAGCCCTTTCCAATGAGTGAGGCAACTACTCATAAAGATGCTATGAGATAGTTATTTTTGCTTGGGCTATAGCTCCCCAGCACCAAAAAAAAAAAAAAAAGAGACAGAGTTAAGTAGTTACATGGGTTTATAGTCTGAACCACTGCAGAGGCTATGGTAGAATAGTTTTGAGCCCTGGTGTTTGAGGCAGGCCTATGTAATGAAGTGAGACTCTCTCAAGCACCAAAACAAAACAAAAGAGACCCTTTCTCAAATTGAATATAAAGACAGAGTAAGGAAAGTAGTTTGTGCCAGGTATGGTGGTGCACACCTTTAGTTCCAGCACTGGGGTGGCAGAGGCAGGTGGATCTTTGTGAGTTTGAGGCCAGCCTAGTCTACATAGCAAGTTCCAGTCCAGCTGGAGCTGCAGGGAGACACTGTCTCAAAAAGAAAATTTAAAAAAAAAGTTTTTAAGTTGCCCACAAATTTTTTTGCAGCTCCTAGGTAAAGAGTGGGATGAAATGCTGTTCCAGCATCAGCCAGATCTACTCACGTGTCACCACAGCCGTGTGTCGGGATCCACAGCTGGCCTTGACTGCATCTGAGCCCAGGGGTAGATCCAGTAAAGCTGGGAAGGGTTGGACAGCTATGAAGGGGGCTTGGGCTCCATTCTCAGCCCCAGCTGTTCCCTTTACTTTGGAGCAATCATCTTCTAGTCCTGTGGCTTTAGAATGATAATGACATTTAACACTTGCTGAGCATGAAGGTAAATCTCATCCACACGTTATCTTCTTCCTACAACTCTATGAAACATACCATTCTCTAGCTCCAAAGCTGGTACTCTAAACCCCCACTCTAGGATGTACTGGAGTTAGACCTGCAGGCTGTGCAGTGACAAGACTGGCATCAGTCTTGCCAACACTGCCCATTGTAAATCCTGTGGCATGTCCTAGAGTTACAAGGATGTCTCATTCTCTTTAGCACTGCAACTTAGTGGCCAGCAGAGCTAAGAGTCAGGAATGGCAGCAATATCCTGGAGAGATTGTCCTCACCTTCCTCTGTGACTGTTTTCTTGTCCTCTACCAGGCTCCTTGTGGGCAGGGCCAACTGCCCTGATTCATTCCAGCCCCAGATATAAATATCCCCAGTTTCTGAAAGAGCAAGAAGATCCATGAGGCTGTGAACTCCTTCCAACCACCCTAACTCCTAAATATCCACCACCCCCACCACCAGCTCCTGGGGATAGCTAACAGCTGTCCTGCTCAAGTACTCCAGGCAAAGGTGCCCTCCTTCCAAGTCACAGCAGTTTCCCTGACCATATATACCTAGTCACCATTTTTTCCTTCTTGAAAGTCATATCTCAGACTGTCCTCATCTGTCCATCCTCTTCCTGAATACTGGGATTACAGGCATGCTCACCATGCCCAGCTTTTTCTTTCTCCTCTTCCTTCCTTTCAGAGATGGACCCCACTATGTTGTCCAGTCTGGTGTCCAACTCCAGGCTTAAGAAGTCCTCTTTCTCAGCCTCCCCTGCAGCTGGGACTATAGGTACATGCCATGGTACCCAGTTTAGTTCCTTTCTTTTAACTCTCTTCCTAGACCACCTGCATTTTCACTATGCTGCAAAATTGTCACCCCCCTCCCCAAATATAGTATGCCCAGAACTTCTCCAGTGTTACCCTTCCAAATCCACAAAGGTGGCCTGTGTCCCTTTTCAGCCCCACCTGGCACTGGTCCTGCTGAAGGCCTTTGGCCCCTCACCTGCATTCCTTCCCATAGCACTGCTGCTCTAACACTATGTAGGGTTGGAACAACAGTACATGGGCATTGGAACCTCTGCTCCAAGCATAAGGCCAGACTCTACTACATAGTGAATTTGAGACCAGGCTGAGCTTATATGATCCCTTGTCTGAAAATAAAATTTGCAAATAGTAGTAGATAATTTTATAAAATAAAATGTTCAGTCTTCCAGGTGGGCTGTGACAAGGGAGACCCTGTCAGAAAACATTCAACAAAAAACAAACAAAAGCTGGGTGTGGTTGCATATCCCTTTAATCCCAGCACTTGGGAGGCAGTGACAGGTAGATCTCTGAGTTTGAGACCAGCTTGGTCTACATAGCCAGTTCCAGGCCAGCTGGGGCTACAGGGAGACACTGTCTCAAAAAGACATAAAAAAGAAAGAAAAAAAAGTTCAGTCTTTACTAGTGTTTTGTGTACTTTAAAATTTTTTGTCGCCGGGCGTGGCAGCACACACCTTTGGTCCCAGCACTTGGGAGGTAAAGGCAGGCGGATCTTTGTGAGTTCAAGACCAGCCTGGTCTACATAGTGAGTTCAGATCAGCTGGGACTACAGAGAGACCCTGTCTCAAAAAGACAAAAAAAATTTTTTTTTTATATGTATGCCTGCATGTAAGTGTACCCATATCATGCAATGCCCTTGGAGGACAGAAGAGGGCACAGGATCCCCTGGAACTGGAGTCCAATAGTTGTTAGCTGCCATGTGGGTGCTGGGATTTGAAGCCAGGTCTTCTTCAAGAACAGCCAGTGTTCTTAATTGCTGAGCCATTTCTCCAGCTCTTGTGTACTTTTCAAATGTAATCACGATATCCCTATTTGTAGTTATACGATAATATCAACACTTTATTCACAAATCAAGTAAGGTGCAGGTTACCAGGCCCAGGGTCACAGAGCCAGTATAATATTCAAAACTAGTAAGCCTCATCTGATGCCTCTATGCTTCAACCTCTGCTCCAAGCATAAGGCCTCAAACTCCTAAGCCTTAAGAGTGAAACTTCCCATTAGGCTGTTTCCAGCCCTCTGTTCTCTGCCTTCCTGCCCAGGGATTCATGCCTGGCTCACCCAGGCCCATTCTTGAGAATACAGGGAGATGGAAAGCCCCAGTCAGACCTGTGGATTCTAAGAGCCTGAGATGGAAAGCTTCCAAGCCAGACCTGTGGATTCTAAGAGCCTGAGAGATAGCTGCACCTAGATATCCCACCATCATCATGGATTCAATACGTGCAAAGTGAACCTCCTCACTTTGCCCTAGGTCACCTGCTGTGAACCAACTCACACCACCTTTGTCCTTTCTGCCACCATCATGGCCACCTAGGCAACTCCATCCTTCTCTGTTCTCTCTGGCTGGGCTGTCCCTCACCTCCTTCAGAAGTATTTTAGAAAGCAAGCCCTGGAAGCTGGCAGATGGATGGCAGAGAGCCCAGTAACAGAGAAGGCAGCAAACTAGCAGTCCAGGAGTAAAGGTGGTGGAGGGGGCAAGCAGCTGAATCTGGAAGATACTGAGGAATCAGAGGAGACTGGGCTGGGCTGAATTTGGAAGGAGGCCTTTGCTAGGCCAAATATAAAAACGTAAAGATCAAGAGGAAGGAGTAGCCAAGATCACCAGCTTGTTTGGAGACATCTAGGTCACTCACCACTCACACACACAGAGTGCCAGCCACCAGCAGCCACCTCAGCTATGGGCAGGCCATGCAATGCCTCCAACAGCCTTGGCTCCAGCTCTGCCTCCAGCGTCCCATGGCCCAGCTGTCCGTGCCTGTGCAAGGGAGTCTCTAATTAGCTACCAGGAACGTTCAGGGCCCACCCCCCTCCTAATTACACTCAGATGATCCTCACCTGCCCCCGCCCCAGGAGAACACCTGGCCAGCTGCGCACAGCAGCAACACGTGCTCCGCACCCAACTCCAGCCGGCAAGCCCGCAGCTCTGGGGCCAGAGGCTGGCAGAAAGGTGGCTGCGGGTTCACGTAGGCGCGGGCGCCGGGCAGCAGCGGCAGGGTCCCTACGGGGGCTTCACCGCCGGGTTTGTCTTCCCCCTCGGCCTCAGTCCCTGAAACCTGGTTCTGGGCCCAGAGGGGTTTCCCGCGCAGCGCTGAGCCGGGAGTCCAAGCCTGCAGCTCGGTGCCGGACCCTGGCTTGCCGCGCAGCACCACGAGGAGCCGCTCTGAAGCCCACGCGTCCCTGCAGTCACCCGCCTCGCCGCTCTCGGAGCCCGACAGCTCCACACGGCCTCCACCTGGGCGGAAGAGAGTGTGGTGGGGCACCTAGGACAAGGCATGAAACGGGAGACAGAGGGGTGGCCAAACGAAGGGTGTTCCTGGGCAGGATGGGGCCCACTCAGACTGGGAGAGCTACCCTGGGGCGATCGGATGGTGGGGCGGGTGTGCTGCGGGCGGGGCTGGAAGTGAGACCCGTGGGGGTGCTCACGGGTCACCGTGGCGGTGTAGCTCCAGCTAGCGCTCACACTGCAGATGTCTCCGCTGGCCCGCAGCGGCTCTGGGCTGTGCACCGCGTGGCAACCATTCCCAGAGCCCAACGCCTGCCCGAAGCCGCAGAAACCGAAGCCGAACCAGGACCCGCGCTGCTCCTCCGCCATGCCCGGGACTGAACCCTTGGCCGATCGCCACCTGGCTGGGGTATGGGCCACAGGAATGAAAGTGAGGGCTGCAACCTAAGGAGATTCTCGCAAATAGTCGCTGGCCTTCCAAGTGGCTGCAGCTACCTTATCTGTAAAATGGGGATAGCATACCATTGCGGGACTCTCTGGTATTAGGACTTGGGATGCAGAACTAGAATGTGAGATTATCCCCCACCAGCTACAACTTCCTAGCCTTGGGGAATTTATCCGCACAGTCTTGAGAATCAACGCTGGCTCCATTTTACCGGAGATTCACAGTCACACAGCTAGGGCTGAGATGAGCTAAGTCCCACCGACTGAATGCTATTCCACATAGGCAGCGGAAGCAAGAGCATTACAACAGCTTAACCTGAGTCCAACTGCAATGCCTACAGTTTTACAAAGGGGGATGGGAAGAGTGCTGCTTGTATTTACTTCACAGAATCGTTTGCAATAAATGCAAATAAAGACTTAATTGCAAGCACACGGTATCAGCTTATTAAATCCAGTAGAGTTGATGAAAATAACCATTGACTGTCTTACTGGTTTTCTGAGGCATCCGAACAATTTCCACGGACTTTTCTAAGTCATTTAATCGTCAACCCGAGCCTTTACTGAGCCTTTACTTTGAGATAATGAGGGCGGCCATGGACCCAGAAGAGCTCACGCTTAATTGGCGCGACAGTCCCATGGTTCCGACAGCAACTCTACTCCGTGGTACAGGAGGTTCAGCTGAATCAGAACTTTACATTTTCAAGCCTCTTATGTCGGACCTGTGACCACAGCTCCTAGACTCTTAACCCAAGAAAGACCTTTGACCTTGCCCTAGTACCCGTAACAACGCAAGAAAGCCCTTCCGGTAAGCAGTCAAGGCTGAAACTTCCCTGCACAACCTGCATAGCTCGGGAGAACAAATTTAAAGGGCCGCGAGCCGAGCAAGGAAGCCATTGGCTGCAGCAGCCTTTCTGGAGCCAATCACCTGCACGGAAGGTGACGTCCCCGCTTACCGGAGGCCTCAAGAGGTGCTCACCAGCGCCCACCACCAAAGGTCTATTATGCTGAGCTAGTGCGGTCGGGTCTGTGAAGTGGGATCCTCCGGTGGACGCGGGGATTCGGTTAGAACGTCTTAAAGCAGGCTCAGGAGGATCCGACGGAAAGATCTGGAGAAGACCAACCCGTAAAACTCAGGCCCCCACTTTCCCTTCCAGACCGGAGGGCCGCGGCTCACTACTGGACATGCACAGGATGGGCGTGCAGACAGGAAGGGGTGTTTTTCTCTACCTTCCAGTGACTGGCTCAGGCTCTGTCATTTACATGTATTGAGCCAATGAGCTTCAAGCTTAGGCTGCAGGCTTCAAGCGAGGTAGAGAGGTAGCCCTATTGGGCCAGGCCTGCTCTCCTACCAGGCTCACGCCAAGCATTTGCCTGCATGCCAAGCATTGCCTGAATGAAGATCACCGAAAACTCACGATATAAAGACAAATATATTAGATGGGCCTGCATATTGGAGTCTACCTAAAACTGTTTAAGGTCCCTGGAGTTTGATCTTTTCTAGGTTTCCCTTTCCACCAGGACTAAAGAGAAACTTGGGTACAGTGGTACGTTCCTGTAATTCCCACTACTCCAGAGGCTGAGCAAAAGGATCGTCAGTTTGAGGCCAGCATGGCTACATAGACCCAGTCCTAAAAGTCACTCAATGCTGGCGCCTGGAGACATGGCTCAACAGTTAAGAGCAGTGGCTGCTCTTGCAGAGGATCAAGTTCGGTTTCCATGGTGCTAACAACTCTGTAGCTCCACTTCCAAAGGGTTGGACGTCCACTTCTGACCTCCAAGGGCACTGCACAGACATGATGCACTTAATATGCATGCAGGCAAAACACATAAAATAAAAATAAATTTTTTAAAAAGTGGTCCGAGTGGGGGTCCACTGGCTTCCAACTAGAAGTGTTCCACACCAACTAGAGTGCTCTGTAGCAGCTCCTGCCCCAGGGTCTCCCACCCTCAGCAGCCCTCCCTACACAAAGGCAGCACACGCTTGAGGTCCACACACTTTATTAGGATGATCCTGCTTGCAGGTGTTGGTGCTCACAGCTGCTGAGGCTGCTATGCTCTCCTTGATGTCCAGAATCCACAGGCTTGAATTGGGATGCACCTTCCCCATTCCCAGCTCTCTACAGTACAGAAATAGGACCTTTCAGAGTAAGGCTGGAGGCAGTGCTGGTGCAGCAGGGCTGTGTGACTGAATGTGGTCCCTAACTCAGAATGGAGGACACAAACATGCAGCTGGGGAGGAGAGGTAAGTTTTCAGCACCCCAGCCTCACTGGCTGAAGCTGCTTCTGTTCGCTCAGTGCTGCAGTAAGTGGCATATGCAGGAGTGTTGGGCCCAGTGCCAACCCTCACTCTCCATCCTGGTTGGGTTGGATGAGCCCATATTCCACTGCTTTCCCCAAGCAGGCTGCAGCAGCCCTTGTGACTGGGCTTTCCTCGCCCTTAGCCAACACTGACAGGATCTCCAGCACCTCACTCTCCATCAGAGTGCTGGCAATCTCCTTCGAGGCCTCCACCATGTTAAACACCACCACAGTACCCCGGTGCTGTAGCTCCTGGTTGGAGCTCAGAAGTAGGGCCTGCAGGATCTCCAACCAGTGTGTGGTCTGTAGGAAATGGCAAGTGTGAAGACCCAGTAACAAACTCTACCCTGGTGGAAAACACACACACCCACACCCTAGCATTTCCCCCATAGGATACCCACACCGCAATGCAGGGGAGTTCTAGTTCCCTTGCCCTCCCCCACCATGAAGAGGCACTAACCACTTGTGGGATTCGGCTGCAGAGAGAGGGACGCATGGAGGTGAGCATAGCCAGGCCCCCAGCAGCAGCCCGCTGCAATAGCTCATCATCCTCTCCACTATACAGCACCAGCAGCTTCAGCCGGTCATTGCCCTCGGCTTCAAAGAGATCCTGCACCTGTGACCAGACATGGGCGTGAGAGGGGGAGTTGCTGGTTAGGTTTTTGTCAACCTGACACAAACTAGAGTCACCTAGGAAGAAAGAACTTCAACTGAAGGACTTCCCAGGTCATAGTGTCCGTGGCCTTGTCTGTGAGGCATTTTCTTGTTAGTTGATGTAGAAGGGCCCAGCCCACTGTGGGCAGTGCCATCCCTAGGCAGCCAGACCAAAGCTATAAAATGAAGGTAGCTGAGCAAGCCAATAAGCAGCATTTCTTTGTGGTTCTGCTTCAGTTCCTGCCTCTAGGTTCCTTCCTTGGCTTCCCTTGATGATGGGCTATAAAGCATAAAATGAAACAAACCCTTTCCTCCCCAAGTTGTTTTTGGTTATGGTCATAGGAAGGCAAACTAGGACAGGAGGAAAGGACCATGCCAGCCAGGCACAGGGCCCAGCCAGAGTACAAGTCCCTCTGTATCCTTGCCTATGGGGACTACCTGGACCAACCCTCACCTCTTTGCTCATGGCCAGATTACACATGCATTCTGTGGCTGCCCGGCGAATCATCTCATGCTCTTCAAACATGTAGCCCTCAATCATGGGCACAGCCTTCTCCTTCAGGATCTTCTGTCTGCAGGACAGAGTTGGAAAGGTATGCATGACCAGTCTCTGCATCCACAACCTGCCACCACATCCCCATCCAGCTGAGCCCTGAGCTGAGGAATTCTCCTGGTGAGGACCTTTCTGTACCAGGAATGAATTACAGTGTTTTCTAGCCTTCTCACCTGCCTAGGGAACAGTATAGGATTGTGAGAAGTGCTTGAGATGAAGAAGTAGAACAGGTGACTGTGGTGAGGACTAGGCTAACATCAAACATTTGAGCACTAAATCTGACTAGCTTTGACTTATTTTATATAATAGTTACCTACACTCATCGTAACTCCACAATGCTTGAATTATCTTACTTAATAATCACTTTACTCTATGGTGAAAGTATAGGTGTGGTTACCTTGACTATTTTGCAGAGGGGAAACTGGGCTGTGCAAGGTGTTCAAGGTCACAATTAGTAATAACAGCTAATACATGCTGATTGTGCACACTGCTGGGGCAGGTACCTATGTACCAAGAGTTTATGTTTTTAGACAGACTTTATAGCCTAGACTGGACTAGAACTCACAGTAGTCCTTCTCCCTAGACCTCCCTTAGCATGAGCCACCACCCACAGTGTGCTTGCTAAGGACCTTTTTTTTTTTTTTTAAATATATATATTTATTATTTTTATTTTATTGTATGTGTGTATTGCCTGCATGTAGGCAAGTGCACCTCTGTTGTGCAATGCCTGTGGAGGACAAAAGAGGCTGTCAGATCCCCTGGAACTGGAGTTACAGACAGTTGGTAGCTGCCATGTGGGTGCTGGGATTTGAACCTGGGCCTTCTGCAAGAACAGTCAGTGTTCTTAACCCCTGAGCCATCTCTCCAGCCCCTTTTTATTATTTTTTATTTAATGCATATGAATGTGTTGCCTACATGCACGTGAGTGCACCCGTACGATGCCACGGAGGTCAGAGAGGGCTTCGCATTCCCCTGGAACTGGAGTTAAGGACAGCCTTTAGCCACCATTGGGTGCTGGGTATTGAACCTGGGTCCTCTGCAAAAGCAGTCAGCGCTCTCAACCACCAAGCCATCTCTCCAGTCCCGCTAAGGACCTTTTTTAAAAAATATACTTTAAATTTTTTCGGGGCTAGAGGGATGGCTCAGCAGTTAAGAGCACTGACTGCTCTTGCAGAAGACACAGGTTGGATTCCCAGTACCCACATGGCGGTTATTAACCATCCTTAACTCCAGTTCCAGGGGAATCCAATGCCCTCTTCTGACCTCTGCAGCATTGCATGACACGGGTGCACTCACATACACGCAGGCATTATACTTATACACATAAAAAATAATAATAATAGCCAGGCGTGGTAGCGCACACCTTTAATCCCAGCACTTGGGAGGCAGAGGCAGGTGGATATCTGTGAGCTCAAGGCCAGCCTGGTTTACATAGTGAGTTCCAGGACAGCTGGGGCTACAGGCTGTCTCAAAAAAACAAACAACAAAAAAGAATAAATTAAAAATTTTTTTAAAAACTTTAATTTTTTAAAATTTAATCTTTATTTTATATAGATATATGAGTGTGCATGCAATGCCCATGGAGGCCAGAGCAGGGTGTTGGATTCCCTGGCGTTATGTTAGTTGCCATGTGGGTGCTAGAAACGGAACCCAGGTCCTTTGCAAGACTAGCCAGTGCTCTTATCCACTGAAACATCTCTCTAACCCCTTTACTAAGGACTTTTATATGTATTTTTCTCAATAAACTCTCCATACTACTTCATGAGCTAGATACTATAACTATCAAACTCAGAGGGGAAAATAGGCAGAGCTGCTGAGGGACTAGCTTAGTAAGTGAGCCAGGGAGGGTCAACAGCCTCCAGAGAAGAGGGTGACTGCAGAGTCAGAGCCTAGGTGCCTGCTATCTTGGGCTTCTACAGCTACTGGGTCTAATGAGCCAGATCTGAACCCAAGCAGTCTAACTCCAGAGCCCATAGTGTCCTTACTCTGTGCCTCCCTTGGTGCTACCCTTAGCCTGTCTGTTCATCTGTATGATGCAGAAGAGTCATTGTGAGGCTCAAATAAGCCCGTGACCAGGGACTGTTTGCTAAATTATAGCATGCTGTATGTACTGGGGCTAACCCAGATCCTTATTCCAAGCTCCCATGGGACCTTACCTGAGTCTCTCACTGATCCCTGCCAGGTTTGTTAGGGCCATGAGTGCCTCGAAGTTCTGCAGTCCTGAGCAGTTGAGGTGCAACAGAGAGACAAGGGGCCGGACCACTTCATAGATCTGTGATATACACCCAATCTATCAGAGCCACTCACTACAGTGACCACCAACCCCCCTGATCCACAGCAGAGAGGCCAGCCCCGAGAGAGCATCTCTAAGCTGTATCATACTACAGTACCCATTCCTATTGGTCACAAGGAGGAGCCCAAGTCAGAAGCCATCAGGAAATAATGAAGGAATGAAGAGGGCAAGGAGTCACATACCCGCTCACCAGGAAAGGTCATCTCTGGGTTGGAGGTAATGGTGAGCTTGGCAAGAGCCTGGGCTGCCTTTGTCTGCCCAACATCAGTGCCTTCCAGGGCCAGTGGGAGCAAAGCCTATCAGAATAAGCCCAGGCTTGTCAGGGCCCAGGCTGGGCCTGGGAGTGCAAGGTCCAAGCCATCAGCCCCTGAGACCCTGAGTGCATCCTCCGCCTTCTCTCCCTGGATTGGAGGACACTTCCTGCTCAGCCCTTCCCCTTTCAGAGGTCTCTCATTAAAACTACCCAAACACTTCCTCAAACACCTATTAAGGGTTAAACACGGATTGTGCAGGGGCCCTGGGGCCACGGAAAAAGAGGCAAGCTTAGGATTTTAATGGACCCAAAGTGCTGAGGGACTCTGAGGAACCTACCTACACTAGCATCACTCACTCAGCAGGAAAAACTTCATGCTGGTCACTAATCACATCTGTCCAAGCCCAGCCTGTCAGCAGTCATGTTTTATAGTTAGATGGCTCAGTATCAGAAAGAGTCAGAAACAAGCTTACCTTGCCCCCTCCCTGAGCAACCACAGTGCCTCGATCCTCCACCTCTTCCACCAAAGCCAGGAAGACCCTGAGGGGAGAAGGCATGATGGGTGGGTGGGGTCCAGGGCTCTGGCCAGAGAGAAGTGGGTGGCACTGTTGCTCTAAGAGGCTGACAACACAGGACTGTTCCCTGTGCAGGCATGTTGCAGGCTGAGGCTTAGGAGTTAGGACAGCAGGCTGGCTCACCTGGACAGCAGCTCCCGACAGGAGTTTGTTAGCACGGGGTTCTCCGTCTTTACCATGCATGTCATGGCTGACACCACACCTGCTGCCAGCAGCTTCTTCACACGAGCTCTCACAAAGCTTGGTTTGTCCTGGGAAAGGAAACAGCTTAAGTGGGGGCCCTGGCTTGACTAGATAAAGAAAGAAAGGCCCATCTCAAAGCAGAAACTGATGAATGTGAAAACAAACAGCTAAGACAGATGCCAGGTGTGGTGGTGCACACCTTTAGTCCCAGCACTTGCGAGGCAGAGGCAGGTGGATCTCTGTGAGTTCAGGGCCAGCCTGGTCTACATAATGAGTTCTAGGCCAGCTGGGGATATAGGGAGGCCCTGTCTCAAAAAGACAAGAAAAAAAAAAAAAAAGAGAGAGAGAGAGAAATAGCTAAAGGATTGCCCTCTGCTGAGGGTGCTCCAGCTCAGTTGTCTCAATAGCAGGGGCCCTGAGTCCCTCCCGGTGTACCCCATACCTTAGGGTGCTGCTCAGGAACGTGCTGCTTGGCATACTTGGCCAGCTCCACCATCTTAGGGTCAGGCTCCTCATAGTCATAGCTGTTGGTGCAGTTGACCAGGGCGGAGGCCACTGCAAAGAGCACTGATCTCTCCTCCGACTGCCAGAAACGGGAGTATTCAGATGGAAGCCCAGGTAAAGCAGCACTGGGCATGTGCTGCTGCGCCAAGCCCCTATCCTACCCTCCACTGGCCCACTAGAGAACCAGGGTGAGACTAGGAACTTGCCCAGGCCCCATACTCAGGCAGCTGACAATGCTGACTCTCCAGAGCAGCAGTCCTTCCAGACACTGCAGGTAGTTCTACTTCCCTGAGGTCACAAGAACCATGGGTAAGACTTACCGAAGTCTAATAAGCTCTAACTCTAGACTACACCTCTAGGCAGGAACCCGCAGAGCTACCTTGCTGAGCTGGAACAGAGCTTTCAGAGCAGCCTCATCCTCCACAAACTCTTCCTTCACATCAGCATCGAAGGTGAGGTAAGCCAGGCCCTCCACTGCCCAGCGCCGAGTACTTGCGTCAATCTGGTCATTGCACAGCCACCTGGAGACATGCATGATAGTGAATGACCATCAGAAGTCAGGTATGGTGGCACAGGCCTCCAATCCTAGCATTCAGGAGGCTGAGGCAGGAGGACCACAAGTTCCACACCAGCTTGGGCTATATTAGTGAGACCCTATCTCAAAAAAACAAAATACAGCCAGGCGTGGTGGCATACGCCTTTAATCCCAGCACTGGGGAGGCAGAGGCAGGTGGATCTCTGTGAGTTCAAGGCCAGCCTGGTCTACATAGTGAGTTCCAGG